GGGGTAAGTCGGATTAGGCTAAAGTGTCTCTCTCTCTCCCCTTCTCTCGTTCTCTTTCTCTCTCTCTCTCTCTCTCTTTCTCTCCTTCTTTCTCTCTCTCACTCTCTCTTCCTGTCTCGTTCTCTCTCTCTCTCTCTCTCTCTCTCTCTCTCTCTCTCTCTCTCTCTCTCTCTCTCTCTCTCTCTTTCTCCTCCTCCTCCTTAACCTGCTGTGATACCAATGAAATCAGACTCGTCTTCTTCCTTATTCAGCATGCATGAAAACAGATGACAAGCGCACTGGCGCCAGGCGCCCACATAAAACTCAGAGATATCGTGGCCAAGGACACAGTTCAGATTCAACGTGCTTCGAATAGAGCACGCTGTAGCCTATCTCTAACCAAGAGCAGCTATGGATGCTTTCTAGTTCACTCACTAACTAGCGGCTATGGCCACTTCGTCTCCCTCTCAGCCATCTTCTCCCTCGGGCACCTGCAGACCTCCTTGCACAAGTTGCTCTGGCAGTGCTTCCGCACGGCTCGCAGTCTAAATCAATCAGTAACTGGATGTTGCCTCTTGATTTATACTTGGGTTGGTCGCTGGTCTGCTCCTTTCCTCGGGCCTAGGGTGCACACAGTCCCATATGGTACTTGCGGACTGGACAAAGTGCGACTGGGACTTGGTACCACTGACTAGATGAGGTTGGACTGCCCACTTGCCCGCTTGCCTCAGGCCTGACTCTGGCGACTCTCGAAAGGCCACTTCCGGACCTTCCTGAAGTCTGTAGAATTGGCCTTTCGGGACTGTAGCAGCTACGACCTTGGCCTTTCAGGACTGAAGCAGCTACGACTTCTACACAGCTATGACCCCTACTTGACAGACCTACAGTTCAAAACCCGACAACTACACAGACCTATGACAGCCAACAGCCAACTACCAAGACATAGGTCACGGGTTCAAACACACGGGTCGACTTGGTACATTACACAGGTGAGGACGAGGTCTAGGTATCGAGCCCTGGGTTCTGCATCTGCTACTGCAAAGGTGAAAACCGTTTCAACTCTCTGAAAGTAGCGACATGCCATGTCCTCTAATTAGTGACGTGCGTGAATGGATTAACGAGATTTCCATTGTCCTATCTACCACGCTGGGAAACTACAGCGAAGGGAAGTGGGCTCAGAAGAAACGGCGGGAGCCAAATGCCCCGTCATCGAGTTAGTCATGCGTTCGAATGGATTAACGAGATTTCCACTGGGCGCGAATCTATCGAACTGACCGGGCTGCAAACGAGGCTGCGCGGATGATGACCTGACCAATGCGATGCTGAGCAAGCCGCAAACGAGGCTGCATGGATGACAAACAGAGCAACGCGATGCTGAGCCAGCTGCAAACGAGGCTGTGCGGATGAGGATCGAAGTAGCGCAAAGCTGTGCGGGCTATGAGAGAGAGAGAGAGAGAGGAGATCCGTCCCAACGGATGTTGGCACAGTGTGATTTCTGCCTAATGCTCTGAATGTTAAAGTGAAGAGACTCAACCAAGCTCAGGTAGACGGCGGGCTATGAATCTCTTAAAGTAGCCGAATGCCACGCCATCTAATTAGTGATGAGCATGAATGGATTCACTAGAATTCGACTGCCCTATCTACCATCCCACAAATACTACAGCTAACGGAACGGACTTTGCGGAAACGGTGGGAAGCAGGAACGCATGCACATAGTGGGAAGCGGGAGCAGCCAGCGAGCAAACCCCGCACCGACCGCCCGTGCCAGCAGAGAATCGCGCGCCTAATCCCACACACCAACCAATCGGGCTCTCTAGCGGAAAGGCGGGCGCACCTGGCAGAACACATCATCTGGGTCCAGTTCACATTTGGGATCGGGACCAAGATCGGGACGCAGGTTGGGGTTGAGACTCGGATCGGGGTCGAGACGCTGTTCGGGACCCGGAATGAGACCAGGGCAGCGGCCTTTGGCCCAAGAACCAAATATCGGACGGGTTCGGGGTCAGGAACGAGGCCAGG